TGTTAAAGCTTTCGCTTCTCTTTTCATTATTGTGACCCACTATCCGCAGATCACATTTCTATAGCCCCTATAACTGCTTTGCCGCACAAATTAAATGCTGGGATATTTCATACATATACGCCAGGGTTTCAATGCTTGTCAATCAGAGTTTATAAAATATACGGATTCCAACCTGATATTAACACCCAAATCTATTGTGTTCATTTTATGTGTGAAAATGAGAAACCCTCGTGCAGACCCTAGGTTTCCCGGCCCCTTTGTCATTCTGTTTTTAATTTATCTCCAGGTTTTGTGTCAGCTAAATGATTTTGCTTATCAATTTAATGTAATGATAAAACATTATCTTGAATCAGAATGATCAGAACTAAAGTGGATCTACAGGGTTTTGGCATTAAGCCCAGGCCCACTGAGAGTTTAAATGGAGCTACTTTCTCCGTAGGATGAATATGTCCCTGTTTTTTTTAATTGTGCCCCCACCAGTGATATAATTTGCCTCACAGGAAGAAGTGGGCACAGAAACGCATTGCCTTAGGGAAGAGGACTTTAAAACTTTTAAACATGTTATTTATATGCGTGCCTTTTTTCTTTTTAACAGGTGTACTTCAGAAGGAATTACCCAGATTTTACTCAGAATGGCCATGTGGTTTTGAATGCTTCCAATGGACAGCCTTCAACCTTAACCATTTTTGAGACAGCACTGTGATTCTACCACAATGTTAAATCTATTCCAAAGGCATTTTTGCAACAGTTTGTGTACTGCATAAACTATATTCTCCTTTTTTTCATACCAACAAAAAGAGGTTACTTTATTTGGATTTTTTCCTCCAGCGTCACTCATTGATTTCAACCTCTAACAAAATGATTTATTATTTTTGTCACATAATATTTTGTTTCTTATCCAAATCAGAGGTGCAGGCCACCAATAAAAGCTGTCTACCAGATTTTGTGCCTTCAGAGACTCCAGAGCCAAAACTCGTTTTCTAAGGTTTAAGACAAAGTTGTCATAGTTTTTTTTTTTTACTGCCTCCAGAATTACCTATTACTCTCCAGTTATATCAGGGACTGTATTTTCTCAGACTATGTGAAGTTGCCATTTTGTCTCACCCCTTTTCTTTTACATAACTAGGATCCATTATTCCCCCTGGCCTCTGGTTAAAGTAGTAACAGATAAAACGAATAGGAAAACCAAAAGATATACTTTACTTTAAGTGACATTATAGTAGTGAGAGTCTACACCTCATGCCTCCCTCCCCTGAAAAAAGGATATATGTTTAAAATATAGAAGGACACTGTTTCATTATATGTTCTAAAAGAAGAGGAGAAAATAGTGCTTTTTCCTCAAAATAGGAGCCCGTAGAGGTGATTTGATAATGAAGGACACAAGTGTGATCATTGATTGTCTTTCATATTTGCATGACTCCACCCTGGTAACCATTACAGTTTTAGTCTGAGCATGGTGATATTTTCAAAAAAAGACCAAACCGTGAACTGTAAGTCCTGAGTTTGTAGTAAGCAGTCATGTTTGGGTTTCTGCTTTA